CATCAGCAAGCAGCATGAGCGTTTTACATTAAATAAGATGGAAATAATGGATGGCTTGCCAAAAATGGACAGTTGCAATTAATGGCATCACTCAAAGAACTTAACTAGCTAGCTAAGTACAGTAACGCTCGTTTCACAGAATCCGATTTTGCTCCTTCAATTAAAAATGGGATTTTTAGTCGACCATTGGAGTTTATGGCCCCTTTCACAGTATACGATTACCAATCATGTCCGATTTTTACTTGGATAGCGCCCGGAGGGTGCCACTGCTGGTGTTCTACTCCCGGGTGAGTAGAAATCGGGTCTACAGGATAAACCACCTGACCAATGACTATATGGCCTCTTTCACACTATTGTTAGTCGTCCGGTAGCCCTCCCCGAGTGCTGTTCGTTTAGTTTATTTAGAGATATTTTCATCTTACAGTTTGAATTATTCAGTTATTGTTTAAAAATATACTTAGGCCCGATTTCACCAAATTCTCGCTAACGATGGTTTAGTTAAACTTCGGTTAAAACTAACCGATGATTTAAACCACAGTTAAGGAAATCTGGTTTCACCAACGAAAACGCGTCAAAACTAACGCTGGTTTTATAAACGAGAGTTTAGAGTAAAATCCAGGTGGCGGTGGCAGTGAACTGTCATAATACCGGGCTGTTACGGGAGCAAGTTAACATATCCTAGAAAATAAATCAGTGTTTATGAGGTAGTGAAAACATAACTGGAGACAGCAAGCTTACAGGAATACAATAGATTCTGAGCAAAATAACAACAGAAAGCAAGAATAAATACCAATACAATTAACATAAGTAAATAAAGGCAAAGCAATGTTGATCAAACATATTCGAGGAACAAATTGCTTGAGTTTTGCGGTCGAGTCAAGACTCAAAATCCAACTTTTTACAGGGATGTTCAATATTCTGTTTGCTCATTAACCAGTTTGGTACATTTGAACTAGTGAAAAAAAAAAAAAAAAAAAAACTGGAGTCAAAAGAATTACAAGAACGAGACACAATAAAGATAACACCAAAATAATTATTTTCTATAAATTACTAGCAGAATAATGACAATTTAGGTTTAGATTTTGGTTTACTTACGTCTGACCGAACGCAAAACAATTGTTTGAACGTTGGGTTAGGGTTACCCAAAGCCGGGAGAAGGAAAGGGAGCCTATTTTTTCGAACAATGAAATATAAAATTTGATAATGTTGGTAGAAGAGCCGGAACACTGTTTTTAGTCGGGATAAAAGAGTACGGCTCTTGATCGCCAATCAGTTCAATGCGGTCGCTGATCACAGATATACGCCTTGATACTAAACCTTGTGGGATAACCTAAAGCAATGCACTATGTGGGATAGCCTAAACTCAAACCACTACAGTGGTTTGTGTTCATTTCCTAAAGAAAAAGCTAAACGTTTTGATAGTTTATATCTAATAATAAAATCAATTTCATCTTTGTTATTAACATCATTAACCCTTTCTCTTATCCACCTAGTTAGGCGAACAACATAGGCTACTTCATTGCCATCACTTACTTTCAAAGATAATTCGTACCGTATTATCTTCTACCATTTCGCCTTTCTATATAAACTCTAAACTTGAAGCCAGCTGATAGTTACTTAACGAAAGATTAAAGAAGTTAACCGGTCAAAATTGGGCAGTTAATTATCTAACGACGATTTAGTCTAAACTAGCGCTAACGGCGAGTGGTGAAATCCGATTTCGTCAGTTAAGAGTTAACTGCAGTTAGAGCAAGGCTTAACGGTGGTTTAAAAGTTTGGTGAAATCAGGCCTTAGTTATTATATTATTTAGTTTTAGCAAATTTCCCATATAGGGGAATAAATAAGCTGTTACCGTAGTACTCATGGTAAGACCTGGACCCGGGACCGATTTAATTTTTCATTTTGAGGTCCCTAGAGGCCAAAAACACCATCCATTCAAATTCATATATATATATATATATATATATATATGAATTTATGTGTATATATATGTGTATATACACTATTATATATGTGTCCGTTAGCGCGATAACTCGAGCAAAAATGATCCGATTTTGATGAAATTTGGTACAAACGTGTAAACCTACGTTTATTCAAACGAGTTCGTAATCCAGCATAATCGGACCATGGGAACGGGGGTTTATGGGGGATTTTATGGGGTAAAAATTGGGTTTTCCCATTTTTGACTCTAAAACCTAAAAGGTGAGTGAGCGTAGCGAACGAACTTCAACCAGGACGTGATTGAGCCATGTGAACGAGCTCATCTTGAAAATGAACGAGCATTTGACATAAAACCACATTAGGACAGGACGACGTCTATCGGGCAGTTAATATCACAGTACCGGTACTAGCTGTGTGTGGAGCTAGTAGGGAATAAATATGTCTTATATATGGAAATATTTTAGTAAAAATGTAATCAGACAAGTAGAAATTTGCTTAGTCTGCATGTTTGCTGCGGAGGGGGTATTTATTATTAATTACAGTTTTGTTTATATAGTTAAAATTCAAGATGTGATTGACTCTGAAGTTTTAATTTCAACTGTTGAGTTGAAAGTTGTCGGAAAGTAAATAAAAGAAACGTCTTATAACACTTAAAACATATATTTACGCTTATACTGTTACTCACAAGACGGTAAATATACAAAAACGATGGTAAGTGGTGATCGATTTCGATTGGACACTCCAATCATCATCAGACCCAATAGGCGAATGACGATAGAGGGCCATGAGGAATGAGTAGAGGCCTAAGTATATTTTCAAACAATAACTAAATAATTCAAACTGTAAGATGAAAATATCTCTAAATAAACTAAACGAACAGCACTCGGGGAGGGCTACCGGACGACTAACAATAGTGTGAAAGAGGCCATATAGTCATTGGTCAGGTGGTTTATCCTGTAGACCCGATTTCTACTCACCCGGGAGTAGAACACCAGCAGTGGCAAAAAAAATCGGACATGATTGGTAATCGTATACTGTGAAAGGGGCCATAAACTCCAATGGTCGTCATTCGCCTATTGGGTCTGATGATGATTGGAGTGTCCAATCGAAATCGATCACCACTTACCATCGTTTTTGTATATTTACCGTCTTGTGAGTAACAGTATAAGCGTAAATATATGTTTTAAGTGTTATAAGACGTTTCTTTTATTTACTTTCCGTAAATTTAATAACACGTACAATGCTGATCAAGAAGTTATTTTGAAAGTTGTGTCATATGGTTGAGAATTAATGTGTTTTTATCATTTTACCTTACCCAGAAATAGTCATTTGTGTAACTAGTGGGCAAAGTGGCACTTTGCTGCACACGAGAGCAATGTTTACGCGGAATGATCTCGAGTGCAGCAAAGGCCTTTTGCACTCGTGTTACACATTATATTTTTCCTACAGTAAAGCATATAAAACATATAAATAATTAGTCTTTCAAACACTATACAACACGTTTTTAGGTTCAGCTGGCAACACAAATAGGTGCCCTAGAGAAAGTAGTACCCGGTCTGTATCACTCCGTTATTTTTCCTCGACAAGAAATGTGCTCCGCGATTTGAGAATATAGTTCCGTATGTTTTTGAAATTTGAAGTAGTTTCCGCGCCTAAAAAAATGCTTTAAAGGTATTTTCTTGTTTATTAAGATCGTAGGAATGTTTTAAAAACGTTTAAAAGAAAAGTCCAGAAAGTTCAGAAATACCGAAACTATAAACACGAAATGACAGGTTAAATCGTAGTTATAATAGTCAATCAGCTGCTCAGTATTATTATCCCCAAGTGTTGCCAACCTATTTCCAAGGGTACACGGACTACGTGCATAATAGAACCACGCTGTTTTGTGTTGTTTCGTTGGAATCCTGATGTGCGCCAAAGTATAAACCGTACGACAAAGTATAAATATGCAGCAATTAGCAGCTTTCTGTACTATAAACAGTACAAGGAAGCCAACTTTGTCGGGTGACAATATATACTTCCTTTAGAATATACTTATTTTGGAATATTTTATTTTATTTTATGTTTTAAAAATTAAACGATAATATACGTAGGTTTACTTTTAGAAGATTTGATTTTACTTTTGATGTTTAAACAAATTGTTTGATAAATAAAATAGTTGTAATATTACTGAGGTCTGCTATTCTGTGTTTGTGTATTTTTACGCCGTGATGAAAAGTATCGTTCATAAAGTATTCGAAAGTTATTATCCGGCACTTGCTCCATTATTCCCGTCCTCGGCTTCGCCTCGTTCGTGAAATTCGGGTTCCCTGTGTTCGGCTTCGCCTCACACAAACTCTTGAGCGTGCGCCGGAAAATGCCACTTTCGGTCCTAGTAATGAAATATACTATTACATAGTTGGGAACATAATAATTTACATTATTACGATATTTTTGTTGTGTGCTAACTTTGATGGTTCATCTACAGACCAAGACCCTTCTTTAGACATCCCTACCAAGTTTCTACGCCCAGCCGTTCTCTTCTCTCAAATTAGCTGTGACAAAAACCCCATTTTTTCTCCAAAAGAATAACATGGGAATGGAATTTTAAAGGCCACTGGGGCAGAGCCCCAAGGGAATTTACCTCGTTTCTCTGTTGATGGCTCTACAGACCAAGACCTTTCTTTAGACAGCCCTACCGAGTTTCTACGCCCAGCCATTCTCTCAAATTAGTGGAGACAAAGAAAAACAGTTTCAAATTAATATATAGATGTTTCCATTACTAGGTATGATAAAACATTATTCTGAAATACCCACTTCCTAACATTTCATATTAATTGAATGAACCCAGTGGAGACAGTCACGTTTTGTTCTTTTTCGTCGCCGGTAAAGTAAAAATTCAGCAATTACTCTTTCGCGATCCATAGTTAACTATACAACACTTTCCACAGAATAGTCAATGAACTCTGTCTGTTAAGATAACAAATACCCTTGAGAGTACTTTAGTAAAGAAATTCTCAGTACGTGTCGACTGTCTGTTTATAAGGTGGGATGAAATGGGCGTTAAAATTTAACTTACACTTGTGGCAAAGTTGCGGATGGTAGTCTCGAGTTTAAGCCAGTTGCCTCCATTAATTTTTTGCCACATTGGGGCTGTGTTGATGTAGAAGTAGGTGAGATGTTGCCAAGACCCCAGCAGAAAGTCTCCATCTGGGGAAAGATGGCTGCGTGCAAGGTATGACCTGGCTAGCATGTAGTTGGCTCTGTCCTCCCCTAGCAGGCGAGACAATGTATCTCTCTGAGTGGCCTGTAACATTGTTTATTAGAATGAGGAGAGGCAATGCCATGATCCCCCAGTAGTTAGTGCCCATTTGGGGAGAGGTGGCTGTATGCAAGAGATGACCTGGCTAGCTTATAGTTCGATCTATCCTCCCCTAGCAGGCGAGACAATGTATCTCTCTGAGTGGCCTGTAACATTGTTCATTAGAATGAGGAGAGGCAATGCCATGATCCCCCAGTAGTTAGTGCCCATTTGGGGAGAGGTGGCTGTATGCAAGAGATGACCTGGCTAGCATGTAGTTGGCTCTGTCCTCCCCTAGCAGGCGAGACAATGTATCTCTCTGAGTGGCCTGTAACATTGTTTATTAGAATGAGGAGAGGCAATGCCATGATCCCCCAGTAGTTAGTGCCCATTTGGGGAGAGGTGGCTGTATGCAAGAGATGACCTGGCTAGCATGTAGTTGGCTCTGTCCTCCCCTGGCAGGCGAGACAATGTATCTCTCTGAGTGGCCTGTAACATTGTTCATTAGAATGAGGAGAGGCAATGCCATGATCCCCCAGTAGTTAGTGCCCATTTGGGGAGAGGTGGCTGTATGCAAGAGATGACCTGGCTAGCTTATAGTTCGATCTATCCTCCCCTAGCAGGCGAGACAATGTATCTCTCTGAGTGGCCTGTAACATTGTTTATTAGAATGAGGAGAGACAATGCCATGATCCCCCAGCAGAAAGTCTCCATCTGGGGAAAGATGGCTGCGTGCAAGGTATGACCTGGCTAGCATGTAGTTGGCTCTGTCCTCCCCTAGCAGGCGAGACAATGTATCTCTCTGAGTGGCCTGTAACATTGTTTATTAGAATGAGGAGAGGCAATGCCATGATCCCCCAGTAGTTAGTGCCCATTTGGGGAGAGGTGGCTGTATGCAAGAGATGACCTGGCTAGCTTATAGTTCGATCTATCCTCCCCTAGCAGGCGAGACAATGTATCTCTCTGAGTGGCCTGTAACATTGTTTATTAGAATGAGGAGAGACAATGCCATGATCCCCCAGTAGTTAGTGCCCATCTGGGGAAAGGTGGCTGCGTGCAAGAGATGACCTGGCTAGCATGTAGTTGGCTCTGTCCTCCCCTGGCAGGCGAGACAATGTATCTCTCTGAGTGGCCTGTAACATTGTTCATTAGAATGAGGAGAGGCAATGCCATGATCCCCCAGTAGTTAGTGCCCATTTGGGGAGAGGTGGCTGTATGCAAGAGATGACCTGGCTAGCTTGTAGTTGGCTCTGTCCTCCCCTAGCAGGCGAGACAATGTATCTCTCTGAGTGGCCTGTAACATTGTTTATTAGAATGAGGAGAGGCAATGCCATGATCCCCCAGTAGTTAGTGCCCATTTGGGGAGAGGTGGCTGTATGCAAGAGATGACCTGGCTAGCTTGTAGTTGGCTCGGTCCTCCCCTAGCAGGCGAGACAATGTATCTCTCTGAGTGGCCTGTAACATTGTCCATTAGAATGAGGAGAGGCAATGCCATGATCCCCCAGTAGTTAGTGCCCATTTGGGGAGAGGTGGCTGTATGCAAGAGATGACCTGGCTAGCTTGTAGTTGGCTCTGTCCTCCCCTAGCAGGCGAGACAATGTATCTCTCTGAGTGGCCTGTAACATTGTTTATTAGAATGAGGAGAGACAATGCCATGATCCCCCAGTAGTTAGTGCCCATCTGGGGAGAGGTGGCTGTATGCAAGAGATGACCTGGCTAGCTTATAGTTCGATCTATCCTCCCCTAGCAGGCGAGACAATGTATCTCTCTGAGTGGCCTGTAACATTGTTCATTAGAATGAGGAGAGGCAATGCCATGATCCCCCAGTAGTTAGTGCCCATTTGGGGAGAGGTGGCTGTATGCAAGAGATGACCTGGCTAGCTTGTAGTTGGCTCTGTCCTCCCCTAGCAGGCGAGGCAATGTATCTCTCTGAGTGGCCTGTAACATTGTTTATTAGAATGAGGAGAGGCAATGCCATGATCCCCCAGTAGTTAGTGCCCATTTGGGGAGAGGTGGCTGTATGCAAGAGATGACCTGGCTAGCTTGTAGTTGGCTCTGTCCTCCCCTAGCAGGCGAGACAATGTATCTCTCTGAGTGGCCTGTAACATTGTTTATTAGAATGAGGAGAGACAATGCCATGATCCCCCAGTAGTTAGTGCCCATCTGGGGAGAGGTGGCTGTATGCAAGGTATGACCTGGCTAGCATGTAGTTGGCTCTGTCCTCCCCTGGCAGGCGAGGCAATGTATCTCTCTGAGTGGCCTGTAACATTGTTCATTAGAATGAGGAGAGGCAATGCCATGATCCCCCAGTAGTTAGTGCCCATTTGGGGAGAGGTGGCTGTATGCAAGAGATGACCTGGCTAGCTTGTAGTTGGCTCTGTCCTCCCCTAGCAGGCGAGACAATGTATCTCTCTGAGTGGCCTGTAACATTGTTTATTAGAATGAGGAGAGGCAATGCCATGATCCCCCAGTAGTTAGTGCCCATCTGGGGAAAGGTGGCTGCGTGCAAGAGATGACCTGGCTAGCATGTAGTTGGCTCTGTCCTCCCCTAGCAGGCGAGGCAATGTATCTCTCTGAGTGGCCTGTAACATTGTTCATTAGAATGAGGAGAGGCAATGCCATGATCCCCCAGTAGTTAGTGCCCATTTGGGGAGAGGTGGCTGTATGCAAGAGATGACCTGGCTAGCTTGTAGTTGGCTCTGTCCTCCCCTAGCAGGCGAGACAATGTATCTCTCTGAGTGGCCTGTAACATTGTTTATTAGAATGAGGAGAGGCAATGCCATGATCCCCCAGTAGTTAGTGCCCATTTGGGGAGAGGTGGCTGTATGCAAGAGATGACCTGGCTAGCTTGTAGTTGGCTCTGTCCTCCCCTAGCAGGCGAGACAATGTATCTCTCTGAGTGGCCTGTAACATTGTCCATTAGAATGAGGAGAGGCAATGCCATGATCCCCCAGTAGTTAGTGCCCATTTGGGGAGAGGTGGCTGTATGCAAGAGATGACCTGGCTAGCATGTAGTTGGCTCTGTCCTCCCCTAGCAGGCGAGACAATGTATCTCTCTGAGTGGCCTGTAACATTGTCCATTAGAATGAGGAGAGGCAATGCCATGATCCCCCAGTAGTTAGTGCCTATCTGGGGAAAGGTAGCCCCCAAAACTACTCCACTGATCTTAGGTTATATAACAAATATACATAATGTTTTTTAAAGTATTTCAAACAGTTTATCACATAGGATTAACTGTGTGAACTAGGTAGGCTGTACTTACCTGCTTGTAAGCTGTCACAGGATCTATAGCCTGGTAGAGATGCCGAGGACCCTTGTTGAAGTATGTCTGGTGACCTTTGATTTCAGCCCCTCGTAAAGTTGAGCCATATAGAATGTGAGTTGTATGAAGAGTTCTAGCTTGAGTCTGGTCATAACACAGAGTCACAAGAGGGTGCCATCCTTCCACCTAATGTCATAAATACCTAGAGATGAGTTGGTCTGTGACTTTTAGATAGGTAAATGCAAACAGGGAATCAAAAATATTACATTTTTACCTTGGACATAAAGATACACTAGGCTTTACATTCCTGCATGTAATTTTAACTGGTTGCAAATGTTTAAAAATCACGGTATCTTTACAATGAAGTTCAATTAATTAGCTTCGAATGAATAAATGTCTTACATGGCCATTTATATACGGTGTCCCATGAAGAGGTAGCTTCTTTTCATTGTAAAACAACCCCCTGAGTCAAGTTCCACAAGATTGGTTCCGACCAATCAGAACAAAATGGCAGATTATCAAAATGATGGAGTGTTTTTGTGCTATGATTTGTCATACATTTAAAATTGAAAACACAAAACACACATGTTACCAAACCACATTTCACAAAAAACTTTACATTAGATCAACCGTCATCGTGCATGCACACATTTGGTCGGGCCGGCGGCAACTCTCTTGACCATTTGTTAACATAAATCCTTCATTTTGAAGCTAAATTCTCTCTCCCTTTTGTCACTTTTTGGCCATTAAAAATCAGTCCTACATTTTTGGTATAAATTCAGTTTACAACATTCCAATTTAATTACAGCACCAAAACAACCAATGAAACCTAGGGAAGGTATGGGGGTTTAGTGAGTGGGAGAAAATTTCGCGCCGTTCCGGCCAAACCTCGCATGCGGGGTTGGTTCGGCAGATTGGCCACAACCTAAACCCCAACTCTCACTTGTTAGCTGCGGAGAGCTACCTTCTGCCACTGGGTGTTGGTCCACCTACAGAACCAAGTGAGGGGGGCCCTAGACTAAGGTGTAATGCGATCCGTGCCAAGAGTCTTGTGGCACTGGGGGCCTAATATTCAGTGTCTTAACGGAGCCTTCTGGGAACCAGGGGTAACCCAGTCGTACACACCCCTTACCTCTCTAATCGGGTCACTGGGGAGGTGGACTTAAATACCTGGTATTCGTGAGAACAATGTAGACAGTCTGACCCAAATGGAGGAGGAAGGTCTACTGAAATCTGACGATGACGACAAGCTCGCAGAAACCGGAAAGGAACGAAAAACGACTTTCCAGGGGCGAGTTGCAAAGATGGAGGATAGCGGATGCTTTAGCCAAAGGCGAAAAGGTGCTATCCAGAAGTGAGAGGAGGCTGGTGTGGGCTGCCAAGCACCCTAACTCTGCTGCCTGCAAAGCCAGTTCCTCCGGGAACTAGGATGCTGGGAAAAAGCAGAGCAAGGGTGGTACCCCCAAAGCTGACTCTAATGAAGCCTCCAGGAAGAAAGGTGGAGGCTGTGCTGACGCAGCCACAAAGGATTGGCTGGTCAAGCAAGTTCAGGAGCTGAGACCTTTCAGGGAAATCTCGCTACGGCTTGCCCCAGCCAGAGACCTTGTGAAAGCTGTGAAGGTATATTTATGTGCCCAGCCCTACAAGGTCTGCGTATGAGATCCCTCGTACGAAAATCGACTTTCCAGGGGTGAGTTGCAAAGACGGAGGATAGCGGATGCTTTAGCCAAAGGCGAAAAGGTGCTATCCAGAAGTGAGAGGAGGCTGGTGTGGGCTGCCAAGCACCCTAACTCTGCTGCCTGTAAAGCCAGTTCCTCCGGGAACTAGGATGCTGGGAAAAAGCAGGTCAAGGGTGGTACCCCCAAAGCTGACTCTAATGAGGCCTCCAGGAAGAAAGGTGGAGGCTGTGCTGACGCAGCCACAAAGGATTGGCTGGTCAAGCAAGTTCAGGAGCTGAGTCCTTTCAGGGAAATCTCGCTACGGCTTGCCCCAGCCAGAGACCTTGTGAAAGCTGTGAAGGTATATTTAGGTGCCCAGCCCTACAAGGTCTGCGTATGAGATCCCTTGGCCTATTGATGGGAGACCAAAGGGAAGAACAGGTCACCATAGTCAAGAGGCTCTCACGGTTCACCAAGGACCTGGGATTTGACGGAGAATGAGGACCTGTGAACGAGGGTGCACAATAAGCTGTTCTAGCTGCGATGCAATCCCATGGTAACTTGTAAGCCTGGCCCTCTATTAAAAAAAAAAAAAAAAAAAAAAATGAAACCTAGATACAACTATCTATTAACCCGGATACTCTTTTATCCTTAGACTGTGCTCCAATATAAACACAAAGTCAATGAAGTCAGACGAAATCAGAGATACAGTGACGGAATAGACTAATGGGTCCGGCTATCGGTAAATGTCATAGTTAATGGTTGTAGCAACTACAGTGAGTCATCGTCGGCCAGACAGCACTGCGTGCTTCCTGCAAATACTGAGATTTGCAAAGGATGCAAAGTCAGGGAACATTCATTCTATTCTCTTAGCCAGAATACGAAATATGTTAAACACCATGTACTTGTACACATTTCTTAAAAAAATACAATTTAATTAACTTTAATATTTTTTTTTGTTTTTTAACAAATATTCTTTTTAACTAGGTAAAAAGTCAATTATAGTACAGTAGAACCTCTTTAATCCGAACTAATTGGGACCGGGGGTAGTTCGGACTATTGAATAGTTCGGATTACAGAACATATTGTTGTTTTTACATAACAATAGCAAGGAAAAAGTGAAAAATGCTTTATAAAGTAAAATACAGTATTTAATACAGTAGTAAACATAGGGAATAAACAGTACTGTACATTACAATTGAAATAATTACGGTGCTTACATCAATAAATACAGTATAGAATAAAGAACTAGGCCGTACTGTGTATAGAGTACAGTAATGAGGCGTTCGGATTAGTGGACGTTCGGATTACAGGGGTTCGGATTAAAGAGGTTCTACTGTATAAATCTTGGCATTGTCCACCCTGTTACTCTGCCTATGGTTTCATTGCTTCTTCAAAGAGCTAGAACAAGGATACCATTTAATTGCTAGTTAATTGCCTGCCATCATCCGATGATAATTCTCAATTTCATCTGTATATTTTTAAGGTGTGGAATTTATTTTTCTATTTGAAAACTTATCTGATCAAAGAGCGATTCAAACAGCTAGTTTAATATTATTTGTATAGGTCCAAAAGTTGTAGCCTTTTTGTTACATTTGGTAAATTAATTGAAAAAAATAGCAGCTTCTTGTTAGGATACCAGGTATAGTTTAACATAATTTAATATAGATATTTGTCTGCAAAGCAGGGTTGCCACCCGTCCCGATTCTGCCGGGACAGTCCCGATTTTGGTTCCTTATGCCTGCATTTAAGCCTATGTTAATCCAGGAGGGAGGACGGCAATGTCCCGATTTTTTTCTGATCTAAGGTAGCAACCTGCTGCAAAGGGACTTAAACTAAAATCTCACTGATAACCTCAAATTGACTTACTTCAAATCCTAGTTGTATTTCTTTTCCCATGTAATCCCCACAATCATTATTAGTCTCTTTTAAAGTTGTAAATGCTTTCTTTTTACATTCCAGTTGAGATGAGTAGACCTCCTTGTCCCGTAGCTGTAGTGTTTTGTCTTTGACACAAGTCGATGTTGCTGACTGAGCTGTAAAGCCCTTGATTTCATTCCCACTTCCAGGACAAGCGATGTACAGCTCATCACCTTTACCTAACTTGAAAACCCCTTCTTCATCTATCAACTGAGGCATTGCCAACTCAAACCCATTTCTTGTTTTACTGAGAAATACAGGCTCATGATCACGGTTTAAGTCTGAATTCAAGTTTAAACTGCACCCTGAAAATAATAGAAATAAAATAATTAATATCATGAGGCAAGAGATATTCACAAGCACTTTTTAAGACAACTTAATTGTTAGTATGTTTTTTTTTTTACTTTTGTTTTGCAAACTCTTTTTAACACGTTCTCTACTGCAATAGTACAAAACTTTTCATTCACATGGACCAGCGACGCACATATGCGACGGCCGGTTTCCACCCATAGACTGCCGTCGCATATATCCCCACAATATATGCGCATATATGCGACGGCTAGTCACATTAAAATAGACTGCCGTCGCATATTTTCGTCAGGGTTCTAATGTTATTAAACTCTTATATTCTTGTAACGGTCTATTTTAAGGCACTGAATTCCCTGCAGTGGTCTACAGAGATGTCTGACGCACAACTGCGTCGCTTGGTCTGTGGATATGATGATTGGTGACGTCATATAATAGTTGGAAAAACTGGTCTTTACTTTTCTGCATCACTGTATGTATGTATGCAGTATGTATGCTGCATTATCCTGTGTAGCTTATATATTTGTTCAGTTATAAACTTTTCTTGAATAATCTATTTGTTTTACTTACTTTCACTTCAAAACACAAACAAAAATGAACAGTCGCATATATGCGACGTTTGCTCTATTTCAAGAAAACTATGATAGTTTTCACTATTGTATTCGCTGTAGACCGGGCGTCGCAAATATGCGACATTACAAAAGGCTATAAAAAATACAAACAAACAAGATGAAATTACTTACAAACACGATTGTAGCGTATTACAATGTAAATGATCACTTTTTTACAGGTTTTCGCCTGTGGTCTGTGTGCACTGTTATCCAAGTGACATATCTATGTGTCTATGTGTCTATGTCTATGTGTAAGATTCAAACGTATACCTCGGTCTGTGGCAATGACCGTGTCGCCGCATATATGCGACGCTCAGTAGCGAACGTGTTAAAAGCCATATACATTGCTGTAAACGGAAAATTTAATTTTAAATATGTATTTTTTTCATCCCTGTATAAAATGAATAAAAATTGAATGTTGGAGCAACTAATCACTCACCTTTTGAGGTTCTGAACCATGATAATGGGTTAAGACTCAATTCAAATGAATCTTGAATTGGCATGAACAAAATTACAAGAATCTGTGTTGGAAAGCCTTTCATCTTGAAGACACTTTTATACCCTTTTGCTCTAGAGTTTGAAGAAGCTTAAATGATATAAATCTGTAAAGGATATCATCAGTCAAAGGATTACCCTACCATAGTTATAAAATTGTGTAAGTTTTATAGGCAACTATAACAACTCGTTGCTATCTCCAGACTTGAGATGGATCATTACGGTATGTTTGAAACAGCTAGAACAGGTACTTTAGTAACCAAACACCAAATCACCAGTCTACTTGTAGACCTGGTTTTTTAGATTTTTAGGATACCAAGGTACATAGTGTCTTTACAGGTTAAAACCACTAAGCTTGAGATGAACGTAGGTATTTCTACAAACAATAGTTATTATATTTCTAGTTTCCAATTTACATTAAATAAATACACCATAGTGTTGAAACTTATTTTTTTTCTTGATACAGGTTAAGGTGTGATGTACATAAACTCGCACTGAGAACCTTTTCTGCAAAGGAGTGGGGGATTGTGGGAGAGCCCCTCATGTTGATTTAAGAAAATCTTTAAGTTTATTTTATAATTTTTTTGTTATAAAGTTAATTTTTTAATTATAAAGTTAATATTTTTTTATTATAAAATTAAACTGTCATAACCTAACCTAACTAACCAAACTTGCTGATAATATAAAATACCCCCGCCGCAGCAAACCTGCAGACTAAGCGAATTTCCATTAGCCTGACTGGATTTAAACTAAAATGCCTCCTTAAAAATATCATATTTATTCCCTATTTAAATAGAATTTAGTTTAACGAGTACTTAGGTTTGCTGCAACAGGGAGGTTATAAAGTGTTTTTTGTTGTAAAATGTAAATATTTGAGTAAGAAATGAATATATTTTCCAAATTTGATCAAAATATGTTCTTAAACAAACAAACTACAACAGTTGACTTATTCTCTATCTATAAGAATCTTTACGAACATGGGAATTTTAAATTAAAATTTTTTGGAATTTTCCCCGTAACTATTAGGCGCATAATAACGCTTCAATATACTAAATTATTTGTTTTTTTAAGCTCTACAAAATGGTTTCGAAAAATTGAAATTGTGAAACTTTGTGTTTTTAGGGTCAAAATTGGGAAAAACCTATTTTTACCCGATAAAACCCCCCATAAACCCCCGTTTCCATAGTCCGTTCATTCTGGTTCGATAACTTGAAATTTAATCAAAATCGGATCATTTTTGCTTGAGTTATTGTGCTAATGGACGTGGATATGAATTTGAACGGTTGGTGTTTTTGACCTCTAGGGACCTAAAAACGAAAAAGTAAATAGGTCCCGGGTCTGGGTCCCTATATGGGAAATTCCCTAAAAACAAAATTGTGTACCCTGAAACAAAGCTTTTAACGAAGTTTAAATTTTATATCTCCCTAAGTACTGGGTTAAGAAAAAAAATTATACATATAAAAGTTGTAGGATCAGAAATAAAACAAGACAAATTGTAATACAACAGCTTACATAGTATTTGACTTATGATTAATTAAGTGAAACACTCCAATTTCTAGGTTTGGAGGGGGTGGGGGAAAGCTCAAGGGGTAGAGGTAGAAGTGAGGACTTTTGGGAAAATACACCTCTCATAAGGTTCTATCACATTAAAAAAATCCAGCTTTCCACCATTTAGTTGTGAAAAATGTTGTTTTATTGTATTTATTGACTGGGAAAGATGTGCAGAATCAATTTATAAAATAAAATAGGCTAAAAAATAAACACCAAAAATGAATTAAATATTTAAAAAAAAATATTGTACTGTTTATAGGTATATACAAAATAAGCAGTTCCCCCCTCTCAGAAAAAATACTCTTGGTCCTAATCAAAGCAATCTGGGTCTTCAGAGTTCCACACAAGACAATTCTAATACCAGTAATACCTTACCTAAAAGTTCATTAGTAAAGGAAGGGATAACATTTGCTCAAACTGTGCGGAATGGTAGTGAAGTTGGCCATTAGTCATCATCAAGTTAGCAGTGGCGGATCCAGAGGGGGGGCGAAGGGGGCGACCGCCCCCCCCCTCGGGCAAACATATATATTTTTTTACTGCATGTAATACAATAGTGCATACACATTGCGTAAAATAATTTGTCACACTAACTCTGGACGAAGAAATTGTATAAAACTGCCATTTTGAGACTTAGTTTACACAAATTTTCAGGGGGGTAGACCCCCCCCCCTTGTGACTGTTCTAGATCCGCCACTGCATGTTAGTGAACAAACCACAAAATCTCACAATCTGTCTGACACTATAAAACATTGTTTCTCACGTTTTGAGAGCATATTATCTAAACAAGCAGAACAGATTAATACTCTACTTAATCTTCTTACCACCGTTGTTGCCCGCCTAAAATGAATATTCTCCTAAAAATGGTATTATGGAATGCCAATGGCTTGGCTCAGCATAGCCAAGAGTTCCATATCTACAAATTGTTAAAAGTAGATGCCGACAACCTACTAAACGACCAAATCCACCACAGCTCCAATTTAATTTTTAACAAAATAATTGAAACCCAAGCAACACTAACGCATCCTACTAGACATGGCTCAAAACAATACCGAGGACAAAGGTCAGATAGACCACTTGAACGTTCCAGTTAGTTGTGGCTTGGATGTCACCCGTCGCGGCCGGTGAACTTACAAAAATGTCGTCCTTCTGTAAATACCGGTATTATTCGTTATATGTGTTCGTGTGCGTGTTTGTGTTGTATGTCGTGAACTGTTATTTGTTTTAACCCAACGACGTCCATTGGACTGAAGACTCAAAACTGGCCCGCCTGATGATGGTACAACTTCGAGCCGAAACCTAGGTCGCAATAGCCGACTTATTTGAACTGGTGACTGAAGGTATTTAAAACCATTATATTAGTTAAAAACCTTTCATTGCAGACTACTATCTCTATATGCATAAACTAATACATAATATTTATGTAATTCAATCAAAATACAATCAATAAAACACAAGGAAATACATGTAGTGTATCTGGTTGTTTTGAACAGAATATTTACAAGTAGGCTAGATTGTAAGTATGACTTGTTTTGTTGAAATAATGACTATTAAAATTATAAATGTACTCCTATAACTACAGTAATACATTAATCTAAAATAAAAATATAAAATTACCTTAGTAGTTTGGTGTTTGTCTCAATTAAACTTAATTGTTAGTAGCAACACAAATAGCACATCACAAACAAGTAAAATTAATCAAACATAATATTGACCTATTGCATAAGTTTACAGTTTGATATAGTGATTAGGTTGTGTTCCCATCGTAATAAAAAACCTATTCACAACACATTTTCAAATACTAAAGGGCATTGAAGAAGGTTATAATGTTCCTTTGATTATAACACTCTTATCAATCCAAAATTTTTTTCATCAATTCACTCAATTCAAATAATATCTTTATTGATTTTTATGTACATTTTACAATAAATAGTCTCAAAATAATCACATAGTTTCAACAGGATAAAAACAGCAAAACATAGAGAATTATTATGAAAACAACAAATACTGTTGTTATGAATCTAGTAAGATAATGTCAACTATCCTAGCAACTGCGGGAGGTAGAAAATTCTTTAAAAGAATGAATTGCTAAATTTATTAAAAACTCTTTCAATATTATTTTTTTAAATTTGTTTGGGTCTATTTATTTTTTAATATTATTTGGAATAAATAAAAAAAACAAAAAACTATTACCTGCATAAGATGGTTTTTTTCAACAAATTTAGTCCTGTGTGGTTGTATATTTTTGTTCTTATTTTTGAAATTATAAGAACTAGGTGAAACCCGTATAAATCTACGGTTACTTTCAAGGCTTCCGCTAATTCATCTAACTGCGATAAATTGAG